GATCCCCACGATAACGTCATGGCAGAGGGCGGCCCATACCATGTGCGGGGCAAGTTGCCTGAATACCTGGTCCGCCTGCGGGAGACTGATCGCGAAGCGCTGGCGACTGCGCTGGAAGCAAAATGGGGCTGATTTATCATATCCTTTAGTTGTTGGATCAAAACCTGATGCAAGGTGTCCTGTTTACTTTGTCTACGTGTCTGCTTTTTATGGGGCTGGTTGCGTGGATCTCATATCTGAAAACCCGTGGTGAAGTTTCCACCCGGGACGGTTATTTTCTTGCCGGGCGTGGTTTAACCGGCACTTTCATTGCCGGCTCGCTGCTGCTGACCAATCTGTCCGCTGAGCAACTGATTGGTTTAAATGGGTCTGCGTATGGGTTCAACATGACAGCAATGGCCTGGGAGGTCACTGCTGGTGTTGCGATTATTGTCATGGCCCTGGTGTTTCTGCCGAGGTATCTCAGTGGTGCGTTCACAACCCTGCCTCAATTCCTTGAAGATCGATTTGATCCGGGGGTCAGAAGACTTTCGGCTTTGTTGTTCCTGCTGGGTTATGGCCTGATCACAATCCCGTCGATTCTATATTCAGGTTCTCTGGCAGTTCTGCGTCTGTTTGATGTGCCGACGCTGCTAAACGTGGGTTTCGAGACGGCACTGTTATTAACCATCGGCGTCATTGGCGTTGTGGGCGCCTGTTACGCTGTGTTTGGCGGATTACGTGCAGTCGCTGTCTCGGACACCATAAACGGTATTGGTTTGCTCATCGTTGGCACCCTTGTGCCGGTTTTTGGTCTGATTGCGCTGGGTGATGGCAGCGCTATGGCGGGGCTGGAAACAGTGCTGACGGTGGATACGCATAAACTCAATGCCATTGGTAGCAGCGATGATCCCGTACCGTTTGGCACCTTGTTTACCGGCATGATTCTGGCGAACCTTTTCTACTGGGGCACCAATCAGTACGTTATTCAGCGCACCCTGGGGGCGCAAAGCCTGGCCCAGGGGCAGAAGGGTGTGCTGTTCTCAGGCTTTTTTAAATTATTAGTGCCTTACTTCATGATGCTGCCCGGAATCATTGCCTACCATATCTATGCGGGTGAGCTGAATACAATTGATCTGGCCTATCCCGCGCTGGTGGCGGACGTGTTACCCGTGTATCTGGGGGGGTTCTTTCTGGCTGTGCTGCTGGGTGCGGTATTCAGTTCGTTCAACTCGTTATTAAACAGTGCAGCAACCCTGTTTTGCCTGGACATCTATCAACCGCTGAGAAAGAAACACTACAGCGATGCGCAGCTGATTCGTATTGCAAAGGTGGTCAGCGTGGTTATTGCTTTGTTCTCATTTGCCGCCGCGCCACTGCTGCAATATGCGCCGGAAGGGCTGTGGCAGGTTATCCGTGTGTTCACAGGTTTCTATAATATTCCCATCATCACTTTAGTGTTAGTTGGATTGTTTACGAAGCGGGTGCCCGCAGTGGCCGCTAAGGTGGTTGTTGTGTTCCACGTAGTGGCCTATGGGTTGTTGCAGTTTGTGTTTGATCTGAATATCAGTTTTATTCATATCTACGCGATTCTGTTTGTCATCGAAGTGTCGATCATGTTGTTACTGGGTTCGCGCTACCCGGCCCAGGCGTGGCACTATCCTGACCGTAGTGTTGTTGACATGACGCCCTGGCGTTTTGCCAAACCCACGGCGATTATCCTGTTTGCCGCCATTGTTCTGTCTTACCTTCTGTTTTCACCCATCGGGCTGGTTGGTGGGCTAACGTCAGCATTCTGGGGGTGGTTTGTGCTGGTGGTTTCAGTGGCTGCAGCCGCTTGTTTGTGGTGTGACCGGTCCTGGCGGCAGGTGCATCACACCGCACTGTAGCTGGTCAGTTCGCGATTGGCTTCGGCACGGCGGTTTCAGCGGGCTTGCTGGAGAAAAACCGGCGTATGTCATCGCCAATAAGGACGTTGACCGGTACCAGGATCAGAGTGATCGCAGTGGCAAACAGAATACCAAAGCCTAGCGAGATACCCATCGGAATGAGGAACTGAGCGGTTGTTGATTTCTCCAGGAGCAGCGGCATCAGACCAAAGAAGGTGGTGAGAGACGTCAGAATAATAGGGCGGAATCGAATCACGCCTGCGTTCAGAACAGCTTCGCTCAGTTGAACGCCTCTTTTACGCTGTTTGTTCACTGCATCCACCAGCACCAGGGAGTCGTTAACCACAACGCCACTTAATGCAAGAATGCCCATAACGCTCAGCATGGACAGGGTGTAACCCATGAACCAGTGGCCTGCCACGGAACCGATGAGACCAAAAGGAATCACTGACATGACCACCAGCGGCTGGGTATAAGATTTCAATGGCAGTGCCAGCATGCAGTAAATCGCAAACAGGACGATAAAGATCGCGCTCTGCAGACTGCCAAAAGATTCCCGCTGTTCTCTGGCTTCCCCCTCCATCTGGTAACTGATGCCTGGATACTGCAGCAACAACTGGTCTACAAACCCAGCCACCTCACTTTGCAGCACCGTCATGTTGGTATTTTCCTTTTCAACCTCTGCGGTGATGTTCACCGTACGATAGCGATCGATACGTTTGATCTGCTGCGGACCTTTGCCCGGTTCCAGGGTTGCCACATGTGACAGGGGCACTTCCTGACCTGTAGGTGCTCGTATCAGCATTTCATCCAGCGTGGCGAAATCTGCGCGCTCCTCAGCAGGCAGGCGCACCAGTACACGGATATCGTCACGGCCTCGCTGGATGCGTTGCGCTTCGAAACCCCGGAATGCCTGGCTGACCTGCCCAACAATTTCGTTGCGGGTTAAACCCAGGACAAAACCCTGGGGTTTTACTTCAATACGGAGTTCTTCTTTGCCGTCAGACAGCGTGTCAGCAATTTCGTAGACGGTTGGGTAGGTGTCCAGATGGGTTTTTATCTGATCAGCGACGTCTGCCAGAGTTTCAAGGTCATTACCGCTGAGCTGGATGTCGATGGGGTCACCTACGCGGAAGAAGTTTGCTCGGAATGTCAGTGATTCGGCCCCAGGCACTGGCCCGATGAGTTTGCGCCACTGCGCGATCAGTTCGTTTGTGGTGACAGAGATTGTTCTTTTTTCCGGTGGTATCAGCTCGAATTGAACACGTCCAAATTGAGAGCCGGATGAGCCCCGCTGGGAGCCAGTGCTGGAAAGGATGTGTTTAACAACACTCTCATTCGTATCCGGGTCAACATACTGTTCCTGCAGCTTTTTTGCGGCCACAAACATACGGTCGACGTAGCGGTCAGTCACTGAAAATTGTGTGCCCACTGGCATGGTCAGCTGCGCGGTGGCCGTCTCGCCCTGGATAGAAGGCATGAAAGTGAAGCGAGTCCAGCCGCTGAATATGAGGGTTAACACCACAAACAGAACGCCAATAAAGCTGGCGAGGGTTGCGTATCGATGTCGTGTCAGAAAGGCAAGCGCGGGGCGGTAATACAACAGGATCTTTTCTTCGAAGCCGTCAGCAAATGACTGTTGCCACTTTGAAAAACGGTTGGGTTTTTCGCTGTCAAAACCTTTGCCCATGTTTTTAAGGTGGGCAGGCAGCACAAGTTTGGATTCAATCAGAGAAAAAGCCAGCACAGCGATAACAACCGCGGCCACCGGTCCCATAATGGTGCCAAAGCGGCCTTCGATGAAGGTCAGAGGCAGAAAGGCAACCATGGTCGTAAACACGCCAAAGGTGACCGGTATGGCCACATCGTTGGTACCGTTTACGGAAGCTTCCAGACCAGACTCGCCCATTTTCAACCGTCGATAAACACTCTCGCCGGTGACAATGGCGTCGTCGACAACAATGCCCAGAACCACAATGAATCCAAATGCACTCATCAGATTGAGGGTGATGCCAAAGACGTTCATCAGGGAGAACGCACCGATGAACGCGATGGGGATGCCAACAAATACCCAGATCGCAATTTTTGGGCGCAGAAACAGGGCAAGCAGGCCAATCACGAGAACAGTACCCTGCAGCGCGCTTGAGCCGAGCACACCCAGGCGATTTCGCAGCTGCTGGGCATCATCGTCCCAGTACTGTAATGACAAACCAACAGGCAGGGTAACCTGCTTGGCAGCTATGTAATCTTTTACCGCGTCTGCTACCTGCAGTGCACTTTCGTTGCCCACTCTTTCGACATTCACCATGGCGGCATATTCGCCATCGAATAATGTTTTGATAGCGTCTTCCTGGAACCCATCTTTGACAACAGCGACGTCACCAATGCGTATGATGCTGCCGTCCTCGTTGGTTTTGACCACGATGTTTTCAAAATCCGAACGGCGATAAGCCTGTCCTTTGGAGCGGATCAATACGTCTCCGCCCTGGGTTCTGACATTACCTGCAGACAGATCAATTGAGCTGGCACGGATAGCTGCCGCAAGTTGGGCCAGCGTCAGATTGTACTCACGCAGGCGGTCCTGGGAGGCTTCTATAGCAATTTCGTAGCGACGTACCGCATCCAGAGAAACCTGGCTGATGCCTTCGATGCGCAACAGGTCATCGCGCACGCGTTCTGCGTAGGTACGGATTTCTGCCTCGTTGAAGTCGCCAGCAATAACAACGGTTATAACGCCCCAACTGCGCTGGGCGAGGCTGATGACAGGATTTTCAGCCTCTGCTGGAAAGGTATTGATCGCATCCACGCGGGTTTTTACTTCGTCCAGCACAACGCGGGGATCAGCGTCTTCGTTCACCTCTATCCAGACAGTTGAACTGCCTTCAACGGACACACTGGTAAGTCTTTTTACGCCATCAAGGCCTTCTATAGCTTCCTCGATACGTACGGCAAGCCCCAGCTCGGCGTCTTCCGGTGTGGCGCCGCGCAGGGGCACCTGGATGCGGATCGTTTCAGGTTCAGTGCTGGGAAAAATTTCAACCGCGGTGCCATACAGCAGCGAATAGCCGCCGAGCAACAGCACGGTGATCATCAACAGGTTCGCCGCAACGTCGTTGCGCGCAAACCAGGCGATCAATTTGCTGCTCCGGTGGATTGCGCCGGTCGGTTACGCGCAATGCGGGCTGCGTCCTGTTCACCGGCTATGCGCACTGCAGTGCCCGACGTGATTTGCCCCAGCGGCGTTGTGACCAGTAATTCATCGGCCATCAGGCCTTTTGCAATAATGGCGTCAACCCCGTTCTGCCAGGCGATCTCGACATCGCGCCGCTGCAACAGGTCGTTCTCAACCACATAAACATAACTGTTCTGGTAGATGGTATTGCCTGGGATCACAATAACATCCTGCAGCTGTTTGCCGCTGATCTCAGCGGTCACGTACTCGCCTATCTTGAGGGGCTTGGCAACGGGATTGGTAGTGCCAAAAGGATCGTTGATCTGCGCCACAACATGTAACTGTCGGGCGACGGCGTCGATGGCCCCTTCAGTGCGGATAACTTCCCCGTGCCAGGTGGTTTCGCCACCCAGGTTGGATTTAATTTCCACATACGGGGCGACGGTGTTCTGGTTCTCGGGCAATTCTACAAATTCAAGGTCTGCATTGCGGATCGGCAACCTGATCTCAACATAGTCGGTGGCAAATACTTCGGCAAGCTGAGCACCCACGGTGACCACCTGACCTAAATCGACCATCTGCCTGAGCACCCTGCCTGAAAACGGAGCGGTGATGGTGGTGCGTTCCAGATCAAGTCCGGCTTTGGTGAGCGCTGACTGCGCGGAGCTTACCCGTGCCCTTGCAGCCTGTAGTTGGGGCTGACGCAGGACCAGTTCAGAAGGTTCTTCGCCAGGCTGGCCAAGACGTTGCCAGTCCTGTAGCGCCTGCTCCACCCGCGCTTCTTCCTGTGCCTGTACCTGCAGCGCATCCATCAGCGTGGCCTGGGCAATTTGCACGTCGGCTTCATAATCGCGTGGGTCAATAGTTAACAGGGCGTCACCTGCGTCAAAAAAACCACCCGCGCGAAAGTCAGCCTCAATATTCACAATCTGGCCTCTCACTTGGGCAACCAGGATAGAGCGTGTACGGGGTTGCACGGTCCCATAGCTGCTGACGTTGATCTGATAGTCGCGGCTGGTGACGGGAATGACTTCCACCACAGTTTGTGGCCCTGCAGGTGGGCCGCCTCGTTGCACGCTGGGTGGATTGTTCAAAATCAGACTACCAGCCCCAACAAGCACAATCAGTATAATCAGCGGGACAAGAATTTTTTTAATCATGACTGGTAGTGTCCACCTAAAGCCAGCAATAAAGCTACCCGGGTTTGTAAGCGCTGATTGCGAAGCTGTACCACAGCGGTTTGAGCGTCGAAGGCGCGGCGCTGGGCATCCAGTACTGTCGTAAACGTCACCAGGCCTTTCTGATACTGGTCAAAAGCAAGGGTCAGGGCGGTACTGGCATTCACCTCCGCCTGCACAATGGCGTTATATCGATCGTTTAGCGTCACAGAGCGGTTCAGTTCGTTTGCTACTTCCGCAATGCTGCTGAATACAACATCCAGATAACGCTGCTCTAACTGCTCTACAATCAGTGCCGCCTGTTCTTCCAACGCTTTTAATCTGCCACCCTGGAATATCGGTTGAAAAAGACTGGCGGCTGCAGTGAAGGCCAGAGGCCCACCATTGAGCAGCCGGCTGACTGCAGAGTCCGCATCCCGCACACTGCCCGTAAGGTCCAGGGAGGGAAAGCGGTTCTTGTGTGCAACGGCAAGTTCAGCATCTGCAGCCAGTAGATCCAGCCAGGCTGCCTGAATATCAGGTCTGCGTTGTAACAGATCGGCGGGTAATCCAGCTGCCGGTAACGCGGGCAGGGCAGGTAGGTCCTGAGTTACGCTTATTTGTGCACTGGGATATTCGGCCAGCAGCCGCTCGAGATTTGTGCGCGCTTCAAAACTGACCTGGCGCTGATTGGCTACATTTGCCCGTTCCTGCTCTACCGTATTCAGAGCCAGGTACACATCCAGGGCTTCGTTCAGGCCGCTGCGATAGCCTTTTTCGATGACGTCCAGGCCCTGTTGCAGATTAGTCAGGCGCTGGTTGAACACCTGCTGTAATTGTCCTGCTGAGATCAGATTGAAGCTCGCCCGCACCACATTGGCTGCCAGGGCGCGTTGTGCCGTCAGGTAGCGCATCTCTGCTGCCGCCCGGTTGAGTTGTGCCTGGCGTTGGCGATCGCTGAGTTTGCCCCACAAATCGATTTCGAAACTTGCGGTGGCGGCGATATCAACCTGTTCAGAAATACCGGAGAGCTCGCCAAGTGGGCGAAATCGCTGTCCGCTGAGGCTGAGATTCAGGCTTGGCAGGCGGTCTGCACGCGCCAGTCTTTCCTGAATTTGTGCCCGCTCAACCGCGATTGCCTGTTGTTTGAGGTCGTAATTATCGCTGACCGCCTGTTCGACCAAGGCGTTTAAGTAGGGTGCGTCGAAGGTTGCCAGCCAGGCTTCAGGAGGCGATTGTGTGGACTGATCGTCCAGGGGCCATGCCGTCGGCAGGTTTGCCACCTCCGCCATACCACCATCGCGTGGGGCGAGACATGCGGTCAGGGTGCTGCAGAGGCTGATGATCAGAAAGGTACGAAAAATCATTTGGGGATTGATTGACTACTGCGGTGATGAACGTGTGAGCGATACATCTGGAGTATACGTTCTCGAAGTGATTATCCGTCGCTCGATGGCAGATATTTCAACGTTTTAAATACTGGGCGTGAAACTGAATATGTTCGCGCATGAAAGTGGCGATAAAGAAGTAGCTGTGATCGTAGCCCGCCTGCCACTCATAGGTGAGTGGCAGATTGCGCATCTTACACAAGCGAAGAAATTGATCCGGCGCAAGCTGCTCGGCCAGAAACGCATCTGCATCACCCTGATCAATGCGGATAGGCATCGTTGGCGCTTTGTCTTCCAGCAGAGCGCAGGCATCGTAGAGCCGCCAGGCAGTTTGTTCCGGGCCCAGATAGCCTGCCAGGGCTTTACGTCCCCAAGGGCAGTTGCTGGGGTTACTGATCGGTGCAAACGCGGAAATGCTGCGAAATCTATCGGCATTGCGTAGCCCTATGGTCAATGCGCCGTGGCCGCCCATGGAATGGCCGGAAATGCCCTGGCGGGTGGTGTCCAGTTGTTCGATGGTTGCCAGCAGTGCCGGCAGTTCAACCGTGATGTAGCTGTACATGCGGTAGTGTTCGGACCAGGGCGCCTGGGTGGCGTCGACGTAGAAGCCGGCACCCAGACCAAAGTCGTAGGCACCATCAGGGTCGTCGGGTACGCTATCTCCTCTCGGACTGGTATCAGGTGCAATAAGGGCAATACCGTATTGGGCGGCCCATTGCTGAGCACCAGCCTTCTGCACAAAATTTTCGTCGTTACAGGTCAGCCCCGACAGCCAGTACAGAATGGGTACCGGGCCGTGGTTCGCCTCGGGTGGCAGATAAACCGAGAAATGCATGTCGCAGCGCAGCAGAGGCGAGTTGTGCGTATATCGAATCTGGCGGCCGCCGAAACTCATTACATCCGATACGATTTTCAAGCTCAATTTTCATGTCCTTGTTTGCGGTTTAAGAATGTGCGGAGCAGCGGCACCGATAGTGCCAAAGCGGCCAGCAGCAAGATGCCAAATGTCAGCGGGCGGGTCCACAGGAATGACCAGTTGTTGTCGTAGATCAGCAGTGCGCGTCCCAGGTTTTCCTCCATCAAGCCGCCGAGGATGAAGCCGAGGATCATCGGGGCCATAGGGAAGTTAAGCAATCGCAGGCCAACGGCAGCCGCTGCAAACAGCACCATGAGTTGGATATCGAAGGTGTTGAAACTCACCAGATACACGCCAATGATTGAAAAAAACATAATCAGTGGCAACAGTAGCCGTCCGGGGACCATCAGAATTCTGGCGATATAGGGTATCAGCGGCAGGTTCAATACCAGCAGCACAACGTTACCCAGCCACATGGAGACGATGACGGCCCAGAATACGGCGGGTTCGTTGATAAACAGCATCGGGCCTGGTTGTATGCCGTAGGCGATGAGGGCGCCAAGTAGAATAGCGGTTGTACCTGAGCCGGGTATACCCAGGGTTAACAAAGGCACAAACGAACCTGTAGCTGCTGCATTGTTGGCAGCTTCTGGTGCGGCCAACCCCCGGGGGGCACCGGCACCAAATGCGGGTGACTGATTGGCTGGGGCGATACGCTGTTCAGATGCATAGGCAAGGAAGCTGGCAACGGTTGCGCCAGCCCCCGGCAGCAGGCCGATGATAAACCCCAGGACAGACGATCGAGCGACCGTGGGTGAAATGTCGCGTATTTCGTCTGTGCTGACACGCATGCTGCCAAGCGTTTTGCGTTTGCTTTTTTCCACAATCTGCAACTGTGTAGCGGGCGTGCGCAGCACTGCAAGCAAAGCTTCTGCCAGTGCAAAAGTAGCCATCACCAGCAGTAAAAATGAGATGCCGTCAATCAGGTCAATGCTGCCCAGAGTGAATCGCTCTATACCCTGGGCCTGGCTGGTGCCTACCGTTGATAACATAAGACCAACAGTAGTCATCAGCAGGGCCTTGATCAGGCCGCCATTGCCCGCAAACGCAGCGACACTGACCAGCCCCAGAACCATTAACGCGAAATAATCGCTGGATTGAAACAGCAGGGAGGCTTTTGCCAGTACCGGCGCGCCTAACATCAGTAATACGGCGCCGATGATGCCGCCGCAGAAAGAAGCGCCAGCGGCAATGGCCAGTGCTTTACCGGCGTGTCCCTGCTGGGACATGGGGTAACCATCAAAACTGGATGCTACGGTGGATGCCACGCCAGGTGCGTTGATCAGAATCGAAGACGTCGAGCCACCAAAAATGGCACCGTAATAGACAGCGGCCATCATGATGATGCCGGTGGTGGGCTCCAATGTTGAAGCGATCGGTATCATCAGCGCAATTGCCGTCATCGGTCCCAGGCCGGGTAACATGCCGATCAAAGTGCCAGCCAGGCATCCACCAACCAGGAACAAAATCGCCTGAGCGGAGAAGGCGGTGCTTAAGCCCAGTAAAATACCGTCTAACATGGCGGGATCCTGTCAGACATCAGTGCGCCAGAAAGCAGGCCCCGGCGCAACGTATACACCCAGGAGTTCACTGAGTAAGAACCAGAAGAATACCGCGACAGCAGTTGGCAGTATGAACAGGGTCATCACTTTGCGCTCGCCCAGGAGCCAGAAACCAGCGGCGAGAAAGGCAATGGTGGCAACAATGAATCCACCTGGGCGGATGGCCAGGCCATAGAGGCTCATCAAGACGATAAATGCGGCACCCTTGCGCCAGTAGATGGGCGCCTGGCTGCTGGTTTGCGCTCTACCGGGAAGCAAAATCAGCGCCAGCGACAGGATGATGCCGACAATGGCCAGCGCGGCAGGCATGGTGCGGGCGCTGAAGGCAGAACCCATCTGCGTTGTGGTGCTGGGTATATCCAGCGCAAGGAGGCCGTAGGCACAACAGAAAGCCAGGAGAATACAGCCGCCTGTACGGTCGTGATTGAAGGTCACAATAAGCCCAGTTCAATCATGAGCGCTCTGACGTCGGTTTCCTGCTGATGCAACATTTCTGCAAAATCGGCCTGCGCGTAAAACAGGTCTACCCATCCATAATTGTCCGCGATTTCTCGCCAGGTACTTGTGGCGTACATTTGTGCGAGGACCTCCGCGTAAGCCTGTACCTGTGACGCCGGCATGGCGGGACTGGCAAAAAATCCACGCCAGTTGGCAAACACGGCGCCCCGGGCGCCACTTTCCAGGCAAGTGGGTGTATCCGGCAGCAGGTTCAGACGTTCTGCAGATGTGACACACAATATGTTCACCCATCCCTGTTGTGCCATATCGATGACTTCGCCCAGTCCGGAAGACAGCGCCTGTACCTCGCCGGATAACAGGCCCGCCATGGCTTTGCCCCCCGCATCATAAGGAATGTATTTCACGCTCTTCGGCTCGGCTGCAAAGCCGGCAAATACTAATGCGGCAACGATGTGGTCTGTACTGCCGGCTATGGAACCGCCGGCAACTGCAATGCGTGAGGGGTTTTGTTTTTGCGCAGCAGCCAGGGCGCTGATGCTCTGGATCGGTGACTGCCGACGCACCGCAATAACAGAATAGTCGCCAATGACGCTGGCCACTGGCGTCAGGTCGCGAAAAGAGTGTGGAAAGGCTTTCTGCAGGGAGCGGATGACAATGGGGCTGGAATTCACCATCAGCATATGGGGTGATTGACGTTCCAGCAGATGTGCAATGCCTCGGGCGCCACCGCCACCAGACATGTTCTCGTAGCGTATCTGTTTGATCAGGCCTGTTCTGCTGAGCACTGTGCCCACTCCGCGGGCGGTGCGGTCCCAACCGCCACCAGCACCACCCGGTATCAAAAGATGCAGCTGCTCGGGTGCTGCTTGCGCATGGATTGTTAGTCCTGCGGACAACACAATGGCAGCAAGAAGGGCCTTGAACAGCACCGTTGTCTGACGTTTTTTCCTAGAGGCTATTCGAACAACTCTTTCTGCGCACGACGTAAGAACACCAGGCCGATGACGGCGTTGAACAGAATGAAGAAGTTGTGTTGTACCAGGCCGAACGCTGACATTTCTGCGGGAAATTCCGGAAACAGAATAACCCATAAAGAAACGGCCACAGCCCGAAACGGACCGGGAATTGAAGCGCCAAAAAAGATCACCGGTAAGATGCCCAGCATCTGCATGTAGGAGATTTCAACGCCAAAAAGACTCAGCGCTTCAGAGTAGACCACAACCGCGGCAAGCAATGCCGGTGAACGCAGGATCATAATGACCAGATACTGGCTCAGCCTGGCTTCGCGAAAGGCGTGCAGAATATGTTTGTCGCGCCATTTCAGATTCGGCAGGATTTTGCCTTTGAAGTAAAGGAATGCCATCGCAAACAAGGCGACGATGATCATACCGACCCAGGGCAGGCCCCTGAATACTTCCGGCAGGTTGTCCCATTGCAGGGCCAGACCTATATTTGCCCAGGTGGCCAGATAAAACAGTTCGCACACCATGATAAACAACATGGACGAGCCCAGTTTCCAACCCGGAACACCTTCGCGGCGATTCAGATAGAGGGCCATGGCGCCCTTGCCTAACTGTTCATTGAGGATGGACAGGATGTAGGTACTTGCGCGTACCGGGAGAATATTCTTGTAAGAGACTTTGGCGTCAAACCAGTTGATGACACGCCAGACAATCAGGGAGTCGATGGCAAAGAAGAAGAGCGAGTACGGAATCATCAAGCCCAGCCACATGAACCAGTTAACACTGGCAAATACATTGCCAAGGTAGGCGACCACGCTTAAACCCTGAGCTGCGGCAGGGCCCGCCATGCGGCTATACAGGAAGGCAAAACACGCAACGGTAATCAGCCAGGGTAGCAGGCGTTTGATGATGCCGGGTTTGGGTTTTGGTGGCAGCGGGTTGTCGCTGTTTGCAGATGTTTCGGATTCGCTCAAGGTGCTCTCCCGGCAGCAGAAGTTAAGTCGGAGATGGTAACACCTTTGTCGCTCAGTTCACGCCTAGTTCACGAACACCTGCCTAGTCTTTCAACATGAATGCAATAGAATCTGTGCAGAGTGATCTGCGGCCGAAGCTGGAAAAGCTGGTGGGCTATCTGAACGAAACCAATGAAGTTATGGCCGCCAGCTTCTTCACGAATATACTGGTGTCGCTGGTGCAGCTGACAGAAGAAGAGCAGCTGCTTGAGTTGTTCATTGAACTGTCCACCACAGCCTTCCAGGGGTTCATGTTCGATGATGTTTCCTGGGCGCTCACCGATGATGTGCTGCTCTACGCGGAACAGGTTGCTCAAACGTTCACCGCGGATGACAACCAGTTACATTAGGCGGACGGGCTTCTGAGATTGCATTGCACTGGTGGTAGCAGGTACTTGCCTGCTAATCTTTTACGTTTCTCAATGCTGTTGTCCAGTTTATGACCCTGACACCCTTTCACCTTGCAATTCCGGTGCGAGATATCGCTGAAGCGCGCAATTTTTACGGCACCAGGCTGGGTTTTGCTGAAGGGCGCAGCGATGTGCACTGGGTAGATTTTGACCTGTTTGGCCACCAGCTGGTTGTTCATCTGGATCCGGCGTTAGGTTCGCAGGGACAGGTTGCACACATCAAACAGGGTGTAGATGGTCATGGCGTGCCGGTGCCACATTTCGGTGTAGTGCTGACCCTGGCGCAGTGGGATCAGTTCAGAATGCAAATAGACGGTGTCATCGACGAATTCATCATTGAACCGTACACTCGCTTTGAAGGTTTGCCGGGCGAGCAGAAAACCATGTTCTTTCAGGACCCTTCCGGTAATGCACTTGAGTTCAAGGCATTCAAAGATATCCAGAGCGCTCTTTTTTCCACCGCCTAAACAGGTTTCTATCGGGTGACTTAATTTGCATAACGAGTTTGCCAACGCTGGTAGCCTGCGGGTGGGACTGATTGCGGACACCCACATGCCAGGCACCATTGCGACATTGTGGCCCCAGGTATACGACGCCTTTCGCGATACTGACATGATTCTGCACGCCGGTGATCTGCATGTTGCCAGCGTCATTGATGAGCTGGAAACGCTGGCACCCACCTTTGTCTGTTGTGGTAATGGCGATCTGGATGTACGGCATGCAAAGCTGCAGGAGGTCTGGTGTGGTCAGATTGCTGGACTAACCGTTGGTCTGGTGCACAAATTCCCCACCCCCAGTCGGGCTCAATCTGCAAAGCTGCATAAAAAGCGACAGCAGGCTTTTGGCGAAACTGACCCGCATGTGGTGATTTATGGTCATACGCATCTTGCGGAAGTTCATGATGTGGAAGGGCGTGTGTATATCAATCCCGGTTCACCTACGTTACCAAACAATCAGTCAACCCGGCATGGCACCATCGGTTTCTTGTCCATCAGCCCGACAGCGCTGAAAGTGGAATTACTGCAGATTGTTGACGAAGGTTTGTCGCCTCTGCACAGCCTTGACATCAGTCGATCAGGGTCTGACTGACGCCTCGATTACAGATCGAAATGGCAGGCCAGCTGGTGTGGTGTGCCATCTGAAGCAATGATGTCCCGCAGCACCGGCTTTTCAGTCTTACACTTATCCTGCACATTGGGGCAGCGGGTGTGGAAGACGCAGCCGCTGGGTGGATTGATGGGGCTGGGTACATCTCCGTGGAGAATCATTTTTGGTCGATTGCGGCGCGCGGGGTCCGGTTCAGGAATCGCGGCAATCAGCGCTCGGGTATAGGGGTGTCCCGGGTTTGTGTAGATTTCATCGGCGTGACCAATTTCCATAAGTTGACCGAGATACATGATCGCAATTCGATCACTGATGTGTTTGACCACAGCGAGATCGTGCGCAATAAACAGGTAAGACAACTGCATGTCTGCCTGCAGATCTAACAGAAGGTTGAGAATCTGGCTTTGGATCGAAACATCCAGAGCGGATACCGGTTCGTCACAGACAATCAGTTTAGGCTCCAGCGCAATTGCGCGAGCGATGCCGATACGCTGGCGCTGACCGCCGGAAAATTCGAACGGGAACCGATCTGCAGCAGCGGCGGGTAAGCCCACCTGTTCTAACAGCTCAAGGGTGCGGGTTCTGCGCCACTGGGGTTCACCTATGCCATGGATATCAAATGCTTCGCTGATCAGGCTGCCAACTGTCAGGCGGCTATTCAGACTTTCGCCCGGGTCCTGAAAGATCATCTGCACATCCCGGCGCAGGGGTTTCATCGCTTTACGGGAGAGGTGGGTGACATCTGTACCCTGAAAAGTGATTTTGCCTTCGGTCGGTTTCAGGAGGCGCACAATGGCTTTGCCAAAGGTAGATTTCCCGCAGCCTGATTCTCCCACGAGCCCAAGCGTTTCGCCCTGTTCCAACTCAATGGATATACCGTCTACAGCTTTGTTATATGCGGCAGCTCGCAGCAGGATGCCCCCTTTGACGGGGAAATGGACTTTAAGGTTTTCTACTTTTAGCAGCGGTGTGGTCATGTCTGGGTTCTGCTGATCTGCTGGGCGTCGATCTTCTGCCAGTGATGACAGGCCGCTTTGTGAGAGGTGTCCTGGTTATCCATCGCAGGGTAGCTTGCGACGCATAACTCGTCTGCATAAGGGCAGCGATTGTTGAATCGGCATCCTAATGGCATATCTGTCAGCGAGGGCACCATGCCTTCGATGGTCTGCAGCTTTGTTTTGCGAGGCGTGCTGAGTCTTGGAATTGAGCTCAGCAGACCCTGGGTATAAGGATGCAGCGGGTGGTTAAATACTTCTTCGACGCTGCCCTGTTCGGCTACTCTGCCTGCGTACATCACCAGAACGTCATCACAGGTCTCTGCGATGACACCGAGATCGTGGGTGATCATGATGACGCTGGTGTTCAAAGTGTTCTGCATCTCCTGCAGCAGTTCCAGTATCTGTGCCTGGATGGTGACATCCAGGGCTGTGGTGGGCTCATCTGCAATCACCAATGAAGGATCGCAGATCAAAGCCATGGCAATCATCACCCGCTGGCGCATGCCACCGGACAATTGATGAGGGTACTCGCTGACACGTACCTCCGGACTGGGAATACCTACTTTTTCCAGCATGCTGATGGCGGTTTTGAGCGCGTCCTCATCACTGATGTCTCGATGCAGCTTCAGTGTTTCCATGATCTGGCGGCCGACACGATGCACAGGATTCAGCGCGGTCATCGGTTCCTGAAAAATCATGCCGATACGGTCGCCGCGTATATCGTGCAGACGTTCTATCGGTACGCTTGCCAGGTCTTCACCTTCAAACCAGATCTGACCTTCGAGAATATCGGCTGTTGGTTTTGGTAACAGATTGATAATGCTTAATGCGGTTACCGTTTTGCCACAACCAGACTCGCCAACAATACCTAGCGTGCGGCCCGCTTGAAGGCTGAAGCTGACACCGTCGACAGCTTTAATCTGGCCGTTCTCTGTATCGAACGCAGTGACAAGGTTGTCTACGCGAAGGAGTGGCTCTGTGTTATCCGATTGAACAGCCAATGCGTTAGTCCGTTTTGTACCGGTCGTAAACCCGGTCAACGACTTCGAATGTCCTGCCGCTGCGCCGCGCATCCCGTGTTTCTTTTTCCATGTCCTGGTCAATCCAGAACAGATGTCCATCGGTTGCACTATTGGCGATTTTGACCTGGAAATCCTCAGGCCAGTTAAACCAGCGCCAGTAGGCCACGCGTATAAATGGGATAACAAAGCCAGGCACGAAGGAACCATCCTCGTAAAGGATTTCTTCCATTTCGAATGCCAGTCGTTTCATTTCATCAACGCTGTTGCTGGCGCGGTAGGCTTCAATGCGCTGATCCAGTTCCCGGTTGGCAATAGACTGAAGGTTGTTGGTTTGAGGCTTTAATTCTCTATCGGGGTTCACACTGCCGTCCGGTAGCCAGGGCGCATCGTAGGCGTTGACAGAATGGTAGGTCTCCCAATATCGCGGATACATTTCAGGACCGACATTAAATGCGGAGAATGCAATGTCATGCTGCTTTTCTTGAATCTTCTTCCATGATGCAGTGCCGTCGAGCACTTCCAGGCGTAGTTCCAGACCTGCATTCATCGCTTCTTCGCGGAGAATCGTGAGGGTGTCTTTCAGTGCTTCATAACCAGTTGTAAGGGTGAAGCTCAAACGCTCGCCATTGGCGTTGACTAAAATGCCGTCGGGACCACGTTCGACAAAACCTGCTTTGGCAAAACTTGCCAGCGCTTTTTCTACGTCAAACTCCCGCGCTTTTAAGGTTGGGTGAGTGAACTCACCATATCCGTCTGCGCTGGTGCGCATGCGCGTGTAGTCGCCGCGGAAGTATTCGTCGATCACTTTCTGGAAGTTGGTCGCGTAGTTGATGCCAACTCTTACATCGTTGTTGTTCAACAGCGGACGACCACTATTGATCCATAAGCCGTAAGTGGGTCGAGGGGCATCATTATAAAAAACCGCTCGATGTATCTGACCACTGGTCACCAGTTCGTCTGTGGCGGGCAATTTTTCGTAAAAATATTCAGGCAAAGAGATTGAGGCGAAACTGATTTCGCCTTTCTTGAACGCCTCAAAGGTTTTGGCCTGATCTCGAATAACGGTCAGGCTGACGCGATCCATGTTGTAGCGGTAGCGCCAGAATTTCAGGTCTTTGGCCCACCAGTCTTTGTCGCGTGTGAGCGTGACAGAGCGGCCTTTTTTCAGATTGTCCGGGGTGAGTACATAGGGGCCGCTGGTAGGTACAAATTCCCATTGGTAACGCTCAACGTAGTCCTCACCAAATTCGTAGAAAAAGTGCAAAGGCATTGGTTCGAGCTCGAGTGCTCGGCCAATCACATTGGGCTTTGCTTCCGGCAGCGAGAGACTGAATGTATGTGTGTCATACTTTGTTATGGCTGTGTAATTGCGCCGGAAGTTGTTGTTGTACCAGGGCGCCTGTATGAACGACTGTTGCCAGAAGTAGAAGCTGAAGAGCATGTCATCACTGGTAATAGGCATACCGTCGCTGAATTTTGCCGCGGGGTTGATACGTACATATACGGTTTTGCGATCTTCGGACATCGCCCATGATTCGGCGATTCCAGGGAAGTAGCGAAAGTTACCGTTGCTGTCGATGCTGGTATCGGTGGGGTGGCGCTGGGCAAAACGCATGCGCGTGTCATCAAGAATCCACGTTCGGAAAGAGCCGTTGGAGTCCGGCCCGAGAAGGCGCAGCGTGCGTGGAAAATCACTCAAGCTGAGGTACAGGGTGCCGCCCTTGGTGGCCTGATCGCTGCCGATATCAGGCAGATCCATGCCGTTTTCCCAGACCAGATCGGAAGGCACATCCGCGGGTGTTTTGAATTGAAAGAACTTTTCGAATTCTCCGGCAGCTGCACGTTTGTCTATCTCTTCTGCACTTATCTCACCTCGTTCCACGGCTTCCTGCACAGCAGGTGGAAGCGAATACTCGGTGTCGAAGTGGTTCTGCATATGGGCCAGCATCGCCGCCTTTTTGCTGGCGAAGTCGGCATCCGCAGCTGCAGACTGCTCCGCAGTAGGCTCATCCGAACCACCGCAGGCGCTGAGCAGGACCAAGGTGGAAGCGACCAGCAAAGTGCGCCAGCCGTATGACATTTCAGAATAAAGACGGTACATCGGTCTCCTCAACGATAGATGGTGAACTTGCGCGGATCAAAAGCTTCTCGCACGGCTTCACCAATGAAAGTGACAACAGCCAGGACAAAGACCAGGGCCACAAAGGCAGAGGTCACAATCCATGGCGCGGTGGTCAGATTGGCAGTGCCCTGTTTCAAAAGCTCGCCAATACTGGGTGTGGGTGGTGGGAGGCCCCAGCCAAGGAAATCCAGCGCCGTAATAGCGGTAATTGCGCTGACGACGGTGAAAGGAACAAAGGTGATCATGGTGGAAATCGTGTTAGGCAGAATGTGGCGGAATAGCACACGTGCAGTACCGGCACCCAGGACCAAGGCCGCGGCGGTGTAATCCCGGGCTTTTTCTTTGTAGGTTTCGGTGCGCATGTAATAGGTCAGACCCGTCCAGCCGAACAACACCATGATCAGCAACAGGATGGTGATTCGGGTACTGATCGCGAACGTACTGGGAATGACGGAAAAGACAATGATGACCATGTACAGAAACGGAATGTTTGACCAGATCTCAATCACCCGCTGAAACAAAAGGTCAAATGTGCCGCCAAAATAACCCATAGCGCAGCCGATGCTCACTCCGATGAGATAAGTTAATACGGTGAAGGCAATGGCAAAAAATATCGCAGTGCGAAATCCGTAGACCAGGCGTGCGAGCACATCTCGTCCTGTGGTATCTGTGCCGAGGTAATGTTTGCGCTCAAAGTCTGGCCCCTGCGCCTTTAGAACCCCTTCTGAGGTGTCATTGGTATAAGGTCCCCAGGGTATCAGCGGCATGATGACCGTGTGCTCAGTGCCTTCGAAGTGGGTTGCCAGTTTACGGTAGTCAACGGGTATGACGGCATCTGTTCCGGTCAAGCCGTAGTTCGCGCCCAGTTCAACATCGCTGTAGGTGGGAAAATGCCACTCACCGTTATAGCTGATGAATAACGCGCGGTCGTTGATCACCAATTCCGCCAGAAGGGAAAAAACGACCAACACGACAAGCGTGATGGCTGAGTAGTAGCCGAGCTTGATCTCTTTGAAGCGTTTGAGTTTACGTAGAGTGAGGGGGTTCAACTGCATCGATCTGGCCTACTGGAATCGCACTCGCGGATCTACCGCTGCAACAAGAAGATCAGACAGGATGTTGCCCACCAGCAACAGCAGACTGGTGAGGAAAATGATGCCCATAACAACCGGATAGTCGCGATCAAAAACACTGGTCAGGCCGAGCAGTCCAAAACCGTCAATGTCAAAAATTGTTTCGATCAGGAATGAACCCGTGACCAGCAGGGTGATGTTCTGACCAAAGGTTGTTGCGATGGGAATAATCGAGTTTCGCAGCGCGTGACCGGAGACGGCTTTCTTGAACGGCACACCTTTAGCAACCGCCGTGCGAACGTAGTCGGCAGCGAGGTTGTCCATAAGATTGTTTTTCATCAGCATGGTGGTGACAGCAAAGCTGCCCACCATGTAACAGATAAGCGGCAGCGTCGCATGGTGGAGTATGTCGATGACCTTTTCGCCACCACTCATTTCATCGAAGTTGAAACTGGTAAACCCCCCCATCGGGAAAAAGTCCTGTTCTACTGCGAAAAACAGCAGCAGCAATGCGCCCAGTACATAGCCCGGCACCGCGTAGCCCGCAAAAACGATAATCGAAGTGATGTTGTCCATCGGCGTTCGATGCCCGATGGCTTTGACGATGCCCAGAGGAATACAGACGATATACGTGATGATTAAACTGGCGAGGCCGTAAAAGATTGATATCGGAAAGCGCTGGCTGATCACATCCCAGACCGGCTCGTTATAGCGATAACTGGTGCCCAGGTCGCCTTGTGCAACTTTGCCCACCCACAGCACGTAACTTTCGTACCAGGGTTTATCGAGACCGTAGTATTCACGTAACTGATTAAGTTGATCTTCCGAAATAGCCATACCCTGGCCCACAGAGCGAGAGCTCCCGGCACTGATGCTGGCTTGCTGGGCTTCCATCAGCGCACGTTCCAGCGGCCCCCCCGGGACAAACCGAGTGACCATAAACACCAGCATCGTTATGCCGATAAGCGTAGGAATGACAAGCAGCGTGCGGCGAATAAAATAGTCACGCATAAATTATTTATCGTTGTTATCGAGTGTCATATTCGCGTCGCATTGGAGCACAGAAGCCGATTTGCCTCAATGCGAGAATTGTACACAGCTGTATCGGATTTTCAGCGTGAGCGACGGGTCGATCAAATCACAGCAGGTTCAGGAACTCCGCGCGGGTTGACGGATCGGTGCGAAACGCCCCCAGCATGGCTGAGGTTTTCATACGTGAATTCTGCTTCTCAACACCGCGCATCATCATGCACAGATGCTTGGCTTCAACGACGACACCCACATCCTGCGCGCCAGTGACGTCCTGGATCGCGGTTGCGATCTGGTGGGTGAGCTCTTCCTGAATCTGCAGCCGGCGGGCAAACATATCGACAATGCGCGCAACTTTCGACAGCCCGAGGACTTTGCCATTGGGTATGTAGCCGACGTGGGCTTTGCCGATGAAAGGCAGCAGGTGGTGCTCGCACATGGAATACAGTTCGATATCTTCCACGACAATCATTTCGCGATTCTCGGCTGGGAAGAGCGCGTTGTTGACCACTTCTTCGAGGGTCTGGTTGTTACCTCTGGTGAGGAATTCTATGGCCTTGGCGGCACGCTTCGGGGTGTCGACAACGCCTGGACGGGAAATGTCATCAATCTCGGAGATGATGGTGGTATAGGCGTCTATAAGTTTTTTGCTATCTGGCATGTTTTTATTCGGCGTGTAGGGACTGCCAACACTAGCCGCTCGTTTGTAGGGACGCAATCAACCTTGTCTAACCGTAGGCCATTTCCAGAATCTCCAGGACATCGCCGACCTGCAGGCTCCAGAACCAGATGGCGCCAATAAAAATGCTGACGCCAAAAGCCATGACAGCGGTTTCGAGAAGTTTTTTCTTATCCATAATGAGCTCCTGGCTTATGAAAAGCCGATCCAGCGACCGGTTGCCGCTACCGTGAACCAGATGATCAACGAAGTCATAGCGGTGACTTTCAGCACGCGTGGATTAAGGGTGTCGTGTGCATAACGCAACAGTGGTCGGCGTATGGTGTAGACGAACAGCACGCCCAAAGCCAGCGAAGCCATTTTTGCCCAGTACATTTCGTTGTAATACAGTTTCAGGGCAACTGCGGAGCTCATGAATATGCCGCTCAGTACAAGGCCTATCAGGCCCACCGTAAACCACTTGTTGGTATTTTCAAGCACAGTGTCCGATGGAACGTTGGTCATCAGTATATTCAGCAGCCTCAGGTCGCCGACTAAAACCATGCCACCAAGCAGTGCCATGGAGAGCAGATGAAACATTTGTACAACCGCAAAAATCCCGCCGTAAGCTTTAGAGATAGTGGCGAGAAAAGAACCGTCGAGCCATTCGAAAATAAATAAAACATCCATCTCTGCGTCCCCTAGTCCAGTGCCGCAAGTTCGTCAACGCAACCTGCCGCCCAGTACATGAACACGGACATGTCTTTGTTGCAGTCATACCAGTCGTAGGCGATGGCGCGACCTGTAACCACAACGCCTGCCCAGAACGAGAGCGATAAAGCCGCCCCGATACGCATGCGCTTTGGCGGTTTAACGTCGTTGTCCCAACTGCCGTCCGCGGCTTTCATCCGGTTGCGGAACAGCAGAGCGTTGATGCCGGCGCAAATCAGCAGGACGACCTTTATTCGGAACCAGATGCTTTGAGTGGTGCGCACGGGAATGGCGTAGTAAAGAACCAGGCCGGTAATCACCATGATGGTAAAGCCGATCATCATCGGCTTATCCAAACGGTCAGCTACCGTTGAAGCCGGTACGTTCTGAAAGGCGACGCCCAGCATGCGCAGATCGATGACAAACAGCATGCCGAGAAAGATCATCAGCGTCAGGACATGGGTAGTCTCCACCCAGGCATACATATAGTACGACTCGTGCAGGCCGATGCTCCACGCTTGTGCGTCCAGCCAACGGGCCAGATTGAGTAACATTTCGTTAAGAATGATAGTGCTCCCCCTCCTAAAGCAGGTTCAGTATAACCATGACTGAGGGTCTTTCGGAAGAGTGTTGAATTTAACTACTGTTGATACCAGGCGCCGCTTGATTCGGGTTTCATCATGAGAAAGCTCCACCAGAAAAATGCCCCCCGATGATCACTGTCAGGCAAGGTGCAGTTGATCTTGTGCCGTCCTGGAGAATTCAGGTTGGTGAGTTGAATCAGGAAGCGCCGATTGCCCTGGGGCGTTAAGTTCAGGCGCGTACCACCTGCAGGGTAACAGGCGAGCAAAGACAGATTCTCGGGGCCATCAGCAATGTGGATTTCAACATCGAAAGATGTGGCATTGTTAGAAAGGATGACGCCGTTGGCTGGGTCAGCGTTCACCTCAAGGGGTCGTGACTTTATCGCCGTATCAATGCGTGAGAGAGATGAGTAGCTGCCACCGATAGGAAACCGTGGCAAGGCTGTGTAGTCGGATGTTGTGTCGATGGCGCCTGAGTGTTGACCGAAACCAATCAAACCCAACCTGCCGACCAGTTCCTGCAATGCGGCACTGAATTCGCCGTAGGGATAGGCGAACAGTTGGGGTGTTGTGCCCAGGTGTTTGCGCAGGAGTGTGCTCGCTTGTGTGATGTCCTGTTCTACGGCGGCTGCCCAGTCTGGCTGACCCAACTTACTGACCAGATGCTGGTGGGTGTGACTATGGTTGCCAATGGTAACCCCGGCGTCATTCAATTCTTTGAGTTGTGCCCATGACATATAGGTAGTGGGCTCTGCCTTGATGGCCGCAGTGTTGACGAAAACGGTGAACGGCAGGTTGCGGCGTTTGAGCTCCGGCCAGGCATTGTTGAAAACCGTGGCGTACGCATCGTCGAAAGATATGGCAATGGCATTGTCAGGCACCGCGCCATTTTCTCTCAGAGTGGCAACGATTTGCTCTAAAGGCAGAATTTTGACCTTGTTGCTTTTGAAGTGGTCCAGTTGAGCAACAAAGTCCTTAATAGTGATGCTGGTGCTGGGTGGCGTGTGATCTGCAACATGGTGGTACAGCAGCACAACGGCGTGATCTGCCTGCTCTGTTCTGGCGTTGTTCGCAACGCTAACCTCTGCCTCGGCAGATGTGCTGACAAGCCCGCACAAGAAAAGTGTTAGAGCCTGCATGTTGATGATTTTCTTCATTCCAGCTCGTTGTGTCGGATAAGCGCTATTATTTCCTGCACGTAAACCATGCCTCGCTCGGAATAAGCGCCTAACCCCTGGGCCAACCGTATGCCCGAAAGATTTTCCCTCTGACGTCGTAGCTGCGCTCGCAGCAAACGAAAATCCCGGTATCGATAGTGTGTGTTCAGATTGTGCATGTAGGCGCGAACCGCCGATTCAACGCTGTCAAATTCCGCCACTTCGTGGGATCTGCCGGCTTTTCGTGCGGCGGGAGTGAAGCCGCACCCGCTTTCGAAACACTGCTGTCCAAACAAATTGTAGCCATTACGGGCAAACCGGGAACTTCCCCACCCGGATTCTTTGGCTGCTTGTACCAGTGCCAGTGACTTAGGTACAACGTCGATGCGCAGCAGCAGTTGATCGATGAGCGCGGTGTTTGACTCAGCTTCTGCTGGGTTGATTTCGTATCTGGTGGCCAGGTTGTGCAGTTTTTGCAGCTGCAATAGAGAAAGATCATCAATTGACTGGTTCGCCTGTAAGGCGAGTACCCACTGTCGATCCGCGCTGATCTCATCACTGATGTCTTCAATGGCTGGGCTGAGGTAATCGAAGAACGCCTGCTTTTTCACTTCGACTATCGGGTGTTCAAACTCAGGCAGGGGGAGGGGTCGTTGCAGCCAGACGCCAACCATAGTACCCAACAGGACCAAAGCGGTGAGTCCGAGGATCAGCGTGTTCTGTTTTTGCTTCATGTACTTCATTTGGTTGCTGGTCAAATCTTAACGTCCCGATTCTTAAACTCAACAAGGGTGTGTTTCTAGTGCAGCTAAGCGCACCAGGATGGTGCGTGCTGGAGGGTTCTGGTCGCTTAAACTGCGTTACAGGCCAGTTGAACGGTTTCTTTGACCTGGCACGAGTCTTGCTCAACACCATAACAGGATAACGGGTAAATAGACGGAGCGGGGGGATCGATGACAATGAAGGAGACTATTTGTGTCGCGATCTCGATTAGTAATGTGTTTCAGTTTTGCGGGTGTCTTGGCATTGGCTTCGGGCTGTGCCCGGCAGAGTCCGGCCACGTCGCTGGCGCAGATCAAGCAGGACAATGTGAGGCAGTTGAGTATGGCGTGTTACTGGCACCATGATGGCGAAAGAATTGTAGCGGGATCGGCTGAGGTTTATCTGGCCTGCCGAAGATGGGCTGAAGAGCGCATGCAGGCGCAATTTCCACAGTCCGTCGGTGCGAATTCAACGGCGGCACTCACCAGCCCATAATAACAGTTGTTAGGCTAACACCATGAAACCGTTGCTTATGGCTAGCTCGCCCTGGGCATTGTGTACTTGGAAAGTAATGGTGTCGCCACTGATGGCGCTAACGATATCTATCTGTGAAGGTAGTAATACCATAGCGGCGAAACGACCGCCCAGGCGCTTCACTGATGTCGGGTCGCCCCCTGCGTATTTTTTCACCAGACTGCTGACGGCCAGCGCCAGGGTTGCGGTGCCATGCAGGATGATATCCGGTAGCCCTGCGTCGATGGCAACTTTCCGATCAGTATGAATCGGGTTCCAGATGCGCGCGCATTCTGTATAGATGTGGGCGGTGCCCGCGTTCACATCGATCTTCTCAACCTGCCCATTGGCCAGGTCACTGAGTTGGGGTAGCGCCGGTGGGGCTTCAAGATTGTTATTGTCTCCGGCGACGTTCACGCCCCGATAGATGCCCAGTTGGTAGGTCTGCGCCAGCAGATCGCCGCTGTTGGCGTCATGTGTGTCCAGGCGCAGGGTGTAAGCAGCGCCTGGTTTGATCTGGTTAATACCGATCATCGTCGCCGTCGTCGTAATGTGGTCTCCGGCTTTTATGGGTTTGAAAATGTGCAGATCGTGGGCGGCGTGCACACCCCTGGCGGCTTCTGCCGGGCTCAGGGTTTGCCCACCAGCCATTGCCCGGACGTTCAATATCACCGGCCATTCCGGACACACAGGAAACACCGGATGTGCCAGGACAGGACCGGCGGTGGTGTCCATGTAGCAGTCGAGTGTATCGTTTAATCCGGCGGCGTAAGCCATCAGCCAGCGCGCATCAACCTGGTGTTCCAGTGGCGCGGTCTGCTGTCCTACCATTTCTGTACTCAGTGGCATGTGCTTTCCCGTTGTGCACAATGAGGTCGCCATAATAACACTCACGTGACAGCTGGTTATATGAACTTAAAGTGTGTCCTCTGTTCTCTCTTGCTATGCGGTGTCACAGCCTCCGTGCAGGCTATTGAAGAACCTGATTATGCTCTGGTGGAGGCGCTTGGTAAGGTCGAGATACGTTTATATGACAGCTATTGGGTAGCACAAACTCGAGTTCCGGGTGACTTTTCCAAGGCGGGTGGGAAGGCCTTCAAACCGCTGTTCGACTATCTTTCGGGTGAGAACAGCGGCGGCGTGAAAATCAGTATGACGGCGCCGGTGCAGCAGCGCACGGACGAGGACAGGCATGTGGTTAATTTTGTTATGCCCAAGGATGCCGTGACCGGCGGCCTGCCGGAGCCCAGTGGTGACACAGTGACTCTTGAACAAATGCCCGCGCAACTGGTCGCCGCGCTGCGTTATTCCGGGGGCTGGCAGGAAAGCCGTTACCGGAAATTTGAGCAGCAGCTGTTAGAACAGCTGCAAATCTCCAGCTATGTTGTGTGTGGTCCGGCAATGTGGGCCCGCTATAACCCGCCGTTCTGGCCTGGGTTCCTGCGCCGCAACGAGGTGCTGATACCTGTGGCATCGGAGCGCTGCGAGCCACCTTTAGAAGACTAGCCGTACAACGTCTGCTAACGATTTAGCATAGTGGATCGTCAGTCCGCGGGTGATGTGCTCTGGTACTTCTTCTACGTCACGCACATTTGCCGCGGGTAGAATAATGTGCTTCAGTTTCTGACGCTTAGCGGCAATCAGTTTTTCACGGATGCCTCCCACAGGGTAAACGAGCCCCGTCAGGGTTAATTCACCCGTCATTGCAAACTGTTTTTTAGGTGCCTTATTGCGCGCAAGAGACGCGATTGCCACGGCCATGGTGATGCCTGCGGATGGTCCGTCTTTTGGCGTCGCGCCTGCAGGAACGTGCAGATGAATGTGCGATTTGTCAAAAAAATCGGTTGGTAGACTCAGGTCTTCTGCGTTGCCGCGCAAATAGCTGTAGGCAATGTTGGCTGATTCCTGCATCACCTCGCCCAGTTGCCCGGTGAGTTTCAGCCCTGGCGCATTGTCATGTACAACGGTCGCTTCTATAGGCAGCGTCGCGCCGCCCATTGCCGTCCACGCCAGGCCTGTTACCACGCCAACGCCGCTTTGCAGCTGCTCTTTTTCGTAGTGCGGTTTGCCCAGGTAAGCCTCGATCTCGTCCTGGCCGATTTTTATCGGCTTTGCTGCGCCACCTAACAGTTTAACGACGGCTTTGCGCACCAGGGAGGCCAGCGCTTTGTCGAGGCGTCGAACACCTGCCTCGCGCGAGTAGCCCTCGATAACTTTACGTAGGGCCGCAGCGTCCACTTTGACGTCTTTGTTGTTTAAACCAGCTCTGCGAATTTGCCGTGGTAACAGATGGCGTCGGGCAATAGCCAGCTTCTCGTTGTCGAGATAGCCTCCCAGGTGAATCACTTCCATCCGATCCAGCAACGGGCCCGGAATGGTGTCCAGCTGATTAGCGGTACAGATAAACAAAACCTTAGACAGGTCGAAATCAAGATCGAGGTAATGGTCGTGGAAACTACCATTCTGTTCTGGATCCAGAACTTCCAGCAGCGCGCTGGCCGGGTCGCCCTGGTAAGACGCGCCAATTTTGTCGATTTCGTCCAGCATAATCACCGGATTAGCTACCTCAGTGTCTTTCAGCGCTTGCAGGAGTTTGCCCGGCATAGCGCCGATATAGGTGCGTCGGTGGCCTTTGATCTCAGCCTCGTCGCGCATCCCGCCCACTGAAAAGCGGAAAAATTTTCGACCTAACGCATCGGCAATGCTGCGACCCAGAGAGGTTTTACCAACCCCCGGTGGGCCAACAAAACATATGATAGAACCTGCAGCGTCTCCTTTCATGATACCCAGAGCCAGAAACTCGACAATCCGCTCTTTGATGTCGTCCAGACCCTCATGGTGCTTGTCCAACGTTTTTTTCGCGGCTGCAAGGTTATCATTGTCGTGGCTGACAACGCCCCAGGGGAGACTGGTCAGCCAGTCGAGATAATTGCGTGTCACGGCATATTCAGGTGAGCCGCTTTCCAGCATCTGCAGTTTGTTGAGTTCGTCGTCAATTCGATCGGCGGCTTTTTTCGGTAACGTCAGCTGGCTGATACGCTCGCGGAACTCGTCAGCTTCGGCGGTCTTGTCATCTTTGGAAATACCCAGTTCCTTCTGGATATATTTCAGCTGCTGACGCAGCACAACTTCGCGCTGATGGCCTTGGATTTCTTTCTCGACGTGCTCGCGGATTTCCATCTGAGCGGCCGCAATTTCAACCTCGCGTCGCAACAGTTTTACAACCAGTTCCATGCGCGGTTGCAGGGCAATTCGCTCCAGTACTTCCTGTAGCTCTTCTTTGCCGGCAGTGGTTAAACTCGCGGCGAAATCTGCCAGGAGCGAGGGTTCATTAGTGCTGGAACGGGCCAGGAAGAGTTTCAGCTCTTCACCATACAGCGGGTTTAGGGGGATCAGCTCTTTGATGGTATTAATAATCGCGACCGCGTAAGCAGTCTGCTCCGAGGTCTGACTTTTCTGCGGTTCAGGAAAATAACGGACTGAGGCGGTCAGGGGTGTTTCTTCGGAGACCCATTTACGCACCTGAAATCGTTGCAGGCCTTCCAGCAGAACCTGCAATTGTTCACCTTCCCGGTGCACACGATGTATGCGGCACAGGCAGCCGACATCATATAAAAAACTGGGCTTGATGCCGTCTTCGAGGCTGTGTTTGCTGGCGATCACGCCAATCACATCCTGGCCGCGTTTACGCACGGTCTGCAGCGTCGGCAGCCATCGTTCAGCACTGAGGGTCAGAGGAATGGCTTGCCCCGGGAAAAAGGGTCGCTGCTCCTGAGGAATAATCTGGATAACACCCGGCATTGCCTCGCTGGGCAGAATAATCTGTTTTTTCGGGTCGCCGGACTCGCCGATAACCTCACCGTTGTGTTCGATGTCCATCACAAAGCCCTACCTAATAGTTATGCCTTCGAACAATTGATGGGGGCAGGGACGCAAATTTAAAGGGATCTGTACTTGCGGTATTTGATGGCACGGTGGCAAGCTGACTTGATCGATCAGGAGAGTGCTTTGCCAGCGAACAAATTTTTTCCTCAGCCGATTTATAGCCCTGGTGATACGGGTGGACAGGTGCCGCGCGTGTTGGTTGCGCCGCCTCGCTACATACAGGGCCCCGGTGTTCTGGCGAGCGTCGGTCGGTATCTGTCTATCATCAACGTCAAGCGTGCGGTGGTGTATGCCTCAAACCGTGGGTTGGCGGAACAAGGGCCCGTGTTGAAGTCGAGCCTGCAGGCGGCACATATCAGTGCACTGGATTGCCTCTTTCCCGGTGAATGCAGCCTGGAAGCCATAGATGAAGCGGTTGAAGGGTTGGCTGCTGAGCAGGTGGATTGTTTAATCGCCGTGGGCGGCGGTAAGTGTGTGGATGCGGGCAAATGTGTTGCCTACCGGCTTGGCGTGCCGGTCATTGTGGTCCCGACATTGGCTTCGAATGATGCGCCGTGTTCGGCGGTATCAGTTTTATATACCCCCGCCGGTGTTGTCAGCGCTGCGGAATTTTTTCCTGAGAATCCGGCTTTTGTGATTGTTGATACTGAAGTTGTGGCCGCGGCGTCGGAGCGTTACCTCGTAGCCGGTATGGGTGATGCAATGGCCACCTGGTATGAGGCCAAGGTGTGTCTTGCCAACCCTCAGGCTCGTAATGTGATTGGCGCGCGCCCCACTGTGGCGGCGGCGGCGCTGGGAGAAGCCTGCGCAACAACCCTTTTCACCCACGGTATAGATGCCGGCAAAGCAGTTTGTGAAAGCCGTGTGGACGACGCGCTGGAGCAGGTTGTGGAAGCCAATACACTGCTCAGTGGCGTGGGTTTCGAAAGCGGTGGCCTGGCGGCTGCTCATGGTCTGGCAGGTGCTTTAACCAGTATCGGCGCTGTGGAGAAAAATTTTCTACACGGTGAAATGGTGGCTGCTGGCGTGTTGATGCAGTTGATGCTGCAGCAGGACAAGGCTGAAGCGAGACGGGTTGCGGAATTCTTTGCTGCAGTAGGGTTACCCGTGACGTTAGGACAGATTGGTTTAACGCGCGCCGACGAAGATGATCTGCGACAGGTTTCAGCAGAGACCGCTGACTATATGTTTATCACCAACCTGCCTTTCGAGGTGTCCGCAGATATGGTTTACGATGCAATTCTGGCGGCTGACGAGATCGGCCTTGCCGTGTCTGAGTCGGTTGGAGATAAGGCTTACAGAAGGGTGCAGAACTGATGCAGACACAATCTAAGCAGACAGATCCTATGCAGATTCAACGAATGTCAGCCCCCCTGGGTGGTATTGTCAGCAATCTTGATGTCCGCGCGGTGACCGCTGAACAGTGGCAGACACTGAACGCCTGGTTCTGTGAATACCATGTACTGGTGTTCCCCGGGCAACAGCTCAGCCCGGAAGATCAGGTGGCGTTTGCCTCAAGATGGGGAGAGCTCATCCCGTTTCCCTATGGTGGATTGCCGGATCAGCCCAACATTATTGCATTGAAAAATCGCGGCAAAAGCAAAGACGTTAATCAACACTGGCACTCGGATATGACCTACAACACGCAGCCCCCGAAGATGACCATGTTGTATGCCCATGAAGCGCCTGTGCTGGGGGGTGAAACTGCGTTTTCGAACCAGATCCTGGCGTATGCAGATTTGTCTGATGGATTTCGTAGCGTGCTTGATCAACTGCAGGCGGTGCACTCGGCTGAAGGTCTTGCGGCCTTGTATGGGCAGGATGTGCAGGCAGCGCCGCGTGCGTTACATCCGGTGGTCCGTACACATGATGAGTCGGGTGAAAAAGCCCTGTATGTGTGTAAAGCGTTCACCACACGCATCGAAGGTTGGACCGCGGCTGAAAGTAAAAGCCTGCTGGATTACCTGTTTAACCACAGCGCGCGTCCAGAGTACCAGGCTCGGCACCAGTGGCGTCCAGGCGACCTGGTGATGTGGGATAACCGTGTGCTTCTGCATTATGCGGTGCACGATCATGCCGACGAGCCCAGGCTGATTCATCGGTGTCAGGTACAAGGGCCGGTGCCAGCCTAGATGACCGCAGATTTAACAGCTTGGTTTGATGGGTTTGTGCCTTTACCTCGCGGCGCCAATGAACAGATGTATTGCCAGGTCTGGTGTGATCAGGTGGCGCAGGGGTCGCGATCTGAATTTAGTCTGGCAGTACAGGGAGGGTGGCTGGCAGACAATCTGTCGCAGGTGTTTATTGCCGGCTACCAGGCGGCCATCCGCAAGACTTTCCCGCAAGTTGAGTGGTCTGGGATAGCAGCCTTTGCCGTATCCGAAGACCGCAGCGACACGAACCCTTTGCCGGGAGTTGTCTGGCACCCCCATGCAGAGGGCATTTTGTTAACCGGTTACAAGACCTGGATTGCTGCAATTGCTCAAGTTGAACAGCTGGTTGTCAAAGCGCGCGGTGAGCAAACGGGTCAGTCAGGTTTTTTCCTGGTGCCGGCAAAGCTTGATCGGGTGCATCTGGACGTTCATCCCAGTCCATCACGTCTGCCTGATCTCAGTCAGGGCAGGGCGTTCCTGGACGAGGTGGTTTTGCCCGCTGCAAGTAGCTTAGATCCCGGGGGTGTTGCTGGCTTCGGTCGCAACGAAGCGTTGATGATTTATGGCGCCTTTCTGGCGATGGTGTGGCGATGCACTGCAGATGCATCGCTGGAAAAGACGACCGCTGCCGGGATTCTGCGCAAGTTAGAGCAGTGTTTTGCCAGCTCAAACGCGCCAGTTGATGTGAGAGCTGTGGACGAAAGTGTGCAGAATCTGCGGCAGCAACTGGCGGATGGCCAATGGGCTTCAGATCAAACCTTTCTGCGTGATCAAAGCCTCATTGCCATGTACAGCCGAGGGTTACGAAACCACTGATCCGCCATCGCAGGTGATGACTTCTCCCACAGTGAAGCCGCTGGCGCGGGAAGCAAGAAAGATTGCCAGGCCCGCTATGTCCTCAGGTGTGCCCACACGTCCACGCGGATTACCTTTGCCAACCGCATCCCAGTCAGTGGTGTCAGTGTCACCGCCGCCACCGACGCCGGTGCTCAGCATGTAGGTTGGAAAAGGTCCGGGCGCAATGGCATTAACGATAATATTGCGTTTGATCAGATGTGCAGCCAACACACGGGTTAAGTGATGGATGGCGGCTTTTGATGGGCCATAGGAAAAATTATCAAACACCGGTGTCTTGATGCCGTCGATGGAGCCGACATTAATAATTCTTGCTGGCTCATCGAAGCTGGTGGCTTTCTCCAGCAACGGCAACAGCTGTTGAGTCAGGAAAAAAGGACCTTTGACGTTAGTGTTCATGACCTTGTCCCAACCGATCTCGGGGAATTCTTCAAGCGGTGCACCCCAGGCAACACCCGCATTGTTGATGAGGACGTCCAGGTGGTTTTCTTTGCTCTTGAATACTTCGCAGAATGCTTTGATGCCGTCGAGGGTGGACATGTCGCCTGGAATTGAAATGCACTGCCCACCAAATTCTTTCTGTAAACGTGCAGCGGTTGCATCGCAAGCCTCAGCTTTGCGTGAGCTGATATAAACCTTGGCGCCATTGGCCAGAAATCCTGCGGCAATCATCTCGCCTATGCCGCGTGAACCACCGGTGACGATGACAACTTTACCCTCTACGGAAAATAGATTTTTCAATCTGCCCCTCTCTCTTTTTGTTGTGAATATTTGATGTGTTTCAGGCCTGTAGCGTGTTTATGTACTGCAGCATTTCATTTCTGGGTAATCCCCGATTCATTCTTGCTTTGGCGTTTCGCTTCCGTCCGCGCAGCATGTATTTGAAGATGGTGCGTTTGACCTTTTTCTCTTTGAGAAAATCGCCCGGATTTTCGATCAGGTTTACTGTGCGCATCATGCCGCGAAAAACCTCAATCTCATCTTTGGCTGCCGCAGCCAGGGCATCACCAAAAGCCATGCCAAACCATTTTTTCAGGGAGTCGGGCTTATCCAGGTCGCGGCCTGACATCACAGCGTCTGCGCGTTTAATACCATTTTTGTCTTCCTGCAGACTGGCTTTGAATATGGGTCCTATGCGTTCTTCCGTGAGCTTCTGGAAAGCCAGTGCTCGTGCGGTACTGTCAGTTTCGCTGGCGAGTACATCAGCCAGAATCTGGGCGTGCAGAATACCTATGCTGCAGCCACGCCCGTACAGAGGGTTGGTCCGCGCGCAGGAATCGCCGACCGCAAAAAAGTTGTGTGCAGCGGGATGGCCATCTTTCACAAAGTTGCGCCACACGGCGTGGATTTCACCGATGCCAAATGATTCGGTGGTCGCCTGGGCTTTGTCGGGTGCAACCCAGGGCACCAGGCCTGGGATAGTCCGGCAGATGGCATCAAAACGATCTCCTTCTTTGACCGCTTCGCGCAGCTCAGATTCGCCGTTGGGAATGCAGATGATGATGGCAAAGTGACCATTGTCTCCTGGGAATACGCCATATTTCATATACCCCAGGTCACCAGCGGCGGGATCTTCGCCGTGTCTTGAAGGCTCACTAACGCCTGGATTGAGCTTGTAGTGACGCGTGTAGTAGACAATTTCAGCATCATCGCGCTGTTCTTCGATAGCAGCCCCTGCATCCATCAGCCACTTGCGGAATTTGGACGCGCGTCCAGTTGAGTCCACGTAGACGTCGGCTTCAAAGATGGACCTGCTGTTGTTGTCAGAGCGATCCGTGAGTTCCAGACCGGTGACATGCAGACCATTGGCTTGCTGTTCCGTGCGCACACCAGTGATGTAGGTTTTATTGTGGATGACAATATTGTTCATGCGCTCGACGTATCGCCGCAGCACGGTTTCGATGGTGGCGCGGCGGCACATCAGGATCCACAGTTTCTCGTCACCCGGTTCGGGTTTGTAGTGCGGCAGCAGGTGAGGTGGCACCATATCTTCAAAGTTAACCCGGCGTGCCCCTGCTGCAAAAAATTCTTCCAGCAGGCTTGGGTGATGCTCTTCAAGCAGCGAACACATAAGACCAAGGAAGGCATGAGGGTGACGGAACTGCGCTGCACCACGGCGCTGCCAGGCAAAAAAGGCCTGATCGGCGTCACCCTCCGGTGGTGGGATATCACGCTCAAAAAGGGTGATGGCGTGATCGTTCTTAGCCAACGACAGAGCCGTGAACATCCCGGCTATACCAGCGCCGACAACAGCGATGTTTTGGGTCATGAAAGTACTTCAGCAATTTTTAACGGGCGGGAGTTTACCAATAACAGCGGGACATTTGTCGAGGCTGTCAAATTGGTTCTAATCGGCTACCAGGCGGCTTTGCTCGCGGAGATATTTAAGTGACAACGTGGTGTCAGGGTTTTTGTGGGTCTCGGTCAGTGGTGTCCTGATTGTTGGTCTGGATAGACACTGGCATCGCCAGCGTGTCACTGCCGGCATAAAGCGTTCGATGCGGAAAGGGTATTTCGATGCCTTCCTGATCAAAGGCGGTTTTCACCCGTTCATAAATGCCGTTACGCAGGGCCAGATAGTTTTCACGAGCGGCCCAGACAGAAAACTGAATGTTGATGGATGAGTCACCAAAACCCTGCATGATGATGAGCGGCGCGGGTTCATCGAGGCAGAGATGGAATTCTGCGGCAACCTTCAGCAATACGTCTCTGGCCCGCGCGATATCTTCTTTATATGCGATGCCCACTTGTAAGTCGAAACGACGGATCGGGTGGCGGGTTAATGAGGTTACGGTTGATTTCATCAGATTTTCATTGGGGATGCGAACATACAGATTGTCGTAGGTTCGCAGTTTGACGGACAATAAATCGATTGAAAGCACTTCACCTGTGATGTCGCCTACTTTTATGGCGTCGCCCACTTCGAATGCTCGTTCGGCGATGAGAAAAAGGCCGCTGATCAGATTTGATGCAGACGTTTGTGATGCAAAACCCACTGCCACAGACAATATACCTGCCGCCCCGAGCAACACCGTGAGGTCGAAACCCGCCTGTTGAACCGCCATGACGGCAAATATGCCGAAGACTAAATAAAAGGAACCACGTTGTATCAGCAACAATAAGTTTGGCGAAAACACGTCCGCAGGAATCAGGCGGGTTGTGCGGCGCGCTAGCCGTGCAAATATCCACCCTGAAACGAGCATGACCGTCGCGCGAAACAAGGTGTCAAAGGGTATGTCTGTCCAGCTCATATTTTTACCTGTTCTCAGCCGAAGAGAAAGCCAATCGCTTTTCTCACGGAGCTTCTGCTGTCGGTCACTCGGGCATCACTCATGCGCTCTGCTGAATCCAGAAAATCTGGCGCACTGTCACCGAGGACAACGCGGGCTCCGGATAAGGTTTCTTCACACTCGATAGACACGGGCGCGGACCACAGTTGACCGCCACATCGGAAAACTGGAAGTTCCGGAGCAGGAATGCTCAAGCGGGTAATATGGAGCTGTTCCTGGCTGGCGTTTTGGATCGTGATCGGCGCGCGAATGGTATGTGAAGTTTCTGGGAGCTTGTCTCGGCTTAACCTCGCCTGTGTCTGTGTTGCAAACGCAACTTCGCCCTGTAACGTGTTGGGGCCGAGCCAGGTTTCAGACATCAGCTCAGTTGCAAGATCCGCAAGCACCACGTTGTTGCTCGCGATGATTCGCAACCAGGCGGGATAACCCACATAAACGGTTAAAGATTGACCCGAGGGAATGAAGAGGTCGCGAACAGGTCGGGCAACAACATTGCGTGCAGGCGCAACCGGTTCGCAGTTGAAATCAATTTGAGATTCCCCAAGAGCCGTTCGCCACTCCTGGCGCCATTTGTCGGTGCTCTTCCAGAAGACATCATGTGGGTATTCGAAACGCGTAGCCACATCGGTTGGCGATCTCAGTAAATGTACAGCCAGCGTGCCCATTTCGATTTTCGCAGGTGAATCAATCTCACACCTCACCGCGCCCCACCCTGTGTGTGTTTGTTTGTCATCCATATAAAAAGTACAGGGTCAGCATCGAATATTTCTCATTTGTAAGCCAGCTTATCAGGTTTCCAATAATCTATTTGTGATCTCTGCTTAAAGCGACTTGTGCTGGAGTGTGAGGACTTCGTTCAGATCACTGGTACCGCTGCCGCCGGGCGCAGTCGCGCCGCCGATAACGTATATTTTCTGTCCTATCAGGCCTGCACCCAGGCCGTGTCTTGGTGTCGGTAGATCAGCAACTGGATGCCAACGATCTTCGTGCAGATTGTAGAGCCAGACGTTGGCAAACACCTTGGCTTCGGGCGTGAATATTTCACCGCCAAAGACCAGCAAACCTTCATCAACAACTACGCTGGCTGTGCCTGCCTGGGGCAGGGGTAGCGGTGCACCACTGTGCCAGTGATCACCTTGTAGATCATAGATTTCCGTCACATTGAGGTTACCCTGGGCGGTGCGTCCGCCGGTAACCACTAATTGATTGCCCAGCCAGCCGCCTGTTGCGCTGTTGCGAGCTGTGGGGATCTGTTCAGCGTCACGCCACTGGTCAGATACCGTGTCCCAGACCCAGTGGTTGTGGGTTTCGGTGTGATCACTGCGCTGGGCATTATCCGCACCTTTTGGGTTCTGGCCGGTCACCAGATGAATGTTGCCATCCGGGTGATGGGCAATCACACCTTCCGCCTGTGGTGAAGGAAGGCGATTGATCAGCTGCCAACCATCGGCGGTGAGTTTGTACACTGCATCCTGCATTGCCCAAACTCGGGTATAGCTGCCTGCAAATCCACCGACGCAGAACAGATCTCGGCCGTTGCTGACCAGTGCTGCGTGGTGCAGATTTTCGGGTAGTTCAGGCAGTTCTCTCCAGCTATTGCTTTGTGGGTTATAAGCAAAACAGCGGTTGGTGAAATAAGGTACCCCCATGCGTGCCGCGATGCCGCCGGCGACATACAGCTCGCCCTGATGAACGCAGGGGTACAGCTCCTGAATTTGCAGGGGTAACGAGGCAGCCTCAGACCACCGGGCCTCAGACCACGCGTGTTCCGTTTGGGTGTATCGGGTTTGCGCGAAAAGACCAGGCGTCAACGCAACACCCGCTGCCAGGGTGCTACCTGCAGCAACAAACTTGCGCCGGTTCATGCCCCATCCTTTAATGGTGCGCGCAGATCCTGTAACCAGTGCCCGCACGCGGCAATTTCTTCTTCGTGGCTGGGTTCCCGATAAGGCTCCTGCAAGGCATCTTTGGTCCATTTCTGCATGACGGGCTGCGCCAGCATGTGCTGCACATAGTTTTGCGCAGCAGCCGGTAGTTTGAGGCCGTAGGTTTGTATGCGAAAAACCACGGGTGCATAAAATGCATCAACTGCTGTGAAGTTTTCACCGGCGAGATAAGGGCCGCCGAAATTCTGCAATCCCTGCTGCCACAGCTCAGCAAGTCGCTTGAGGTCGGCGCCTAGACCCTCCGACTGTTGGTGCAGTTGAATCCGCAGGCCTACAGTCATGGCGCATTCGTTACGTAAGTTGTTAAAGCCAGCGTGCATTTCTGCTGTAGCACTGCGCGCCCACGCGCGCACAACAGGATCTGTTGGCCAGGCCTGTGGGTGAGCTTCGGCAATATATTCGACAATGCTGAGCGACTCCCAGACAACGATATCGCCATCGTGCAGACAGGGTACTAAGCCGGTTGGCGAGAAACTGCGAAATTTCTGCCAGCTACCGCCATCGTCGAAGGGTATGAGGATTTCCTCGAAGGGAATCTCCAATGCCGTCAGCAGAGCCCAGGGTCGCAGCGACCAGGAAGAATAGTTTTTGTTGCCGATATACAGGGTATACATACTAACTGTCCTGATTGATCTCGCTGAGCACCTGGCTGGGTTTGCCTAGCAGTCTGGTAGCGATATTATTAAGGGATGCAGTTGAGATTTCCGGTGCCGCCAACAGTTCATGTAAGAGCGTATCCATCTGCGCGCCGGCCGCACTCAGCTCATTGGCCAGGTCATGCAGAAGTAGAACCGCAGCAGCTGTATTTGCTCCGCTTGACGGGTCGGCCAGATGGCCTCGGTCTTTATTTGCCCAATCCTGCAGGTCGTCGATAGTTGCCTGAAATCGCGCAGGGCTCAAACCGCCACTGCGCTGCATTACCAGAATGGCGTAATACTCAGCCAGTCCTTCGACAATCCAGTCTGCACCCGGTACAGCGGAATGTACGCCCGCCATATGCACCAGTTCATGCAGGAGGGTTGATGTGCCGTTTTCACTGACCAGTGGCCGGCCGACATGCAGGTACACTGAGTTTGGCGCGGATAGGCCGCCCCGCCACATGACCTCAGGTGCGCCAACAATAAGTACATGTGGTGGGAGCTTGGGCAGAATGTCGTTAAGCGTGGGCACCGTCCAGTTCAGGAAGGCCAGCACGTCCATCCGCTGCATGCCGCCGTCGATGGGTGCGCTGACAACAAAGTTGTGGCCCGCGATGACATCCCGGCGCGTGCCTAATTTGCCACCCAGCAGCCATCCGGTAGGGCGGTTGAATCCGCGATCGGTATGGTCGAGAATTTTTCGTTCTGCATGTAGAGATCCGTAGCGGCTTTCAAACGACCAGTCCTGGGGCCCCTGCATGAAGACGCTGGATTTGCTCACAGCGCCCTTGCGTAAGCGCGCGTTCGCGCGGGGAAACAGGTCGCCAAGTCTCAGCAGGGTCCAGGTAGGCGTATGTTTGGCATCAAAGCTATCTCCTCGCGGACTGTCGATACGGTAGGTGTACCGAAAGGTTCCGCCCTCTCGCGGTACCTGCCAGATCAGGCGATCGTTGTCGCGTTTCGCCTGTCCATCCGCGGAGACCAGTTGGTATGCGGCTTGCGGCGCTTTGAAGTTTAGAGATTTGAGCTGGCCGTTCTTCTGCCGGATTGAGATTGAGGCGGTCACCTGGTCATTGGCTGCCGTGAATGTGGCATCAAAGTCTGCCCGGTAATGCAGGGTTCGGGTGCCCGCAGTGTCGGGCCCTGCGGTTTGCACCTCAGGTGCGCATCCAAGCATTAGCAATATAAATAAGCTGAGCAGGCCCGTAGCCTGTTGTCGTGGCATTTGGCGCCTCCAGTGTGTAGCGTAAGAATACTCATTCAGGTTAAGGAATACACATGTTGCAGGCAGTCCAATTGGGTAAAAGTGGTCTTCGGGCGTCCCAGCTGTGCCTGGGTACGATGAACTTCGGTGTGCCGGGTCGTGGTCATCAGGGTGACTGGACGCTGGACATTGATCAGGCCCGTCCCATTTTTCAATCTGCGCTGGAAAAAGGCCTGTTCTATTTTGACTGTGCAGATATTTATGGCCTGGGTGCTTCTGAAGAGGTGGTTGGCGCCCTGTTGCGAGAGCTGGCGCCAAGAGATCAATATGTTCTTGCCACTAAAATATCCATGCCCATGGGCGCGGGAGCGAATCAAGCAGGCCTGTCTCGTAAACATGTGATGGAAGGGGTTGATGCCTGCCTGGAAAGGCTGGGTCTGGATTATATCGACCATCTGGTGATCCATCGTCATCCACACGGTGTGCCCGGCCACGTGCAGACACCCATTGAAGAATCTATGGAAGCGCTGCACGATGTGGTCAAGGCCGGTAAGGTACTGTATCTCGGTGCGTCATCCATGTTTGCCTGGCAGTTCACTCAATTACAGATGACCGCTGAACGCAACGGCTGGACAAAATTCATTTCCATGCAGAATCACTACAATCTGGTTTATCGCGAAGAAGAACGAGAAATGAATCCGTATTGCGCCCAGCAGGGTGTCGCCTTGATGCCCTGGTCGCCGCTGGCGCGAGGCATTTTAACCGGAACCTATCAGGGTGGATTTGCGGGTGGTAGTACGTCTCGCTCGCAAGGTGCGGACCGGGCGAGGACTGAAAGCCTGTATCGCGGTGAACATGTCTTCCAGGTTGCGGAACGCGTGGTTGAAACAGCGGATAAATATGGTAAAAAACCGGCGCAGATTGCGCTGGCCTGGTTGCTGAACAAGCCGGAAATTACCGCGCCTATCGTGGGCGTCTCGCGCCTTGAGCAACTGGATGAACTGGTGGATGCCACGGATATCCAGCTTGAGCAGGATGATGTGGCTTACCTGGAGGCACCCTATAAAGCCGTAGACAACCTGCTATCGCTTGGTTTCTCCTGAGTGCTCTCTAAGTGCGCTGACTGACGAGTAGGTTGAAACGCCATAAGGCACCAGGTAAGTCAGTGCAACCTGAATGGCGTTTTCCAGGCCAAACATACCGGCAATAAGTGCGCCGCCGTGATTGATCACAGCTAACAAGGTGCCCACTACAAGGGCGATATAGGTCGCTCGGCGCACGACATTCTTTTGCAGGGCCAGCTGCAGTGGCGTCATATTGGCTCAGACAAGGTGTGTGGTGACAGACCCCACGCCGCTATCAAAATGACCCTGATAACTGCCCGGCGCAAACGGCGTTTTGCCGTAAGCGCCGGTAATCACATATTGTCCTGCTTCGAGCGAATGGCCATGCAGGGCTAACTGGTTGGCAAGAATGGCAAGCGATACGTAGTGATCGTCTATGTGTCCGTCGCTGACAACCGTTTCAATGACCCGAGTGTCTTCAGTCAGCGTCACGGTCAGGTTGCTGATGTCAGTGGTTGGCGACGCCGGGTCGCCGATAACAATCCCCCAGTTAGACAGGTTGTCTGCGATTCTAAGTGGAGCTGCAGCATCTGGCCCCAGACGTTTCTGATTGATTTCAAAAGCCGGCAGAATTTCGGCCACACAATCCCTGGCACGAGCGGGCGTTGCGCCCTCTCCAAGAGTGTTGCCGATTCGAAAACACAGCTCGTTTTCAATCTGCCCGCGGTGCAGGTCACGAACAGATAACTGGTCTGCGCTGGTCTTAATACGGCTGTCCAGAATGAAGCCAAAAGGTCTTATACCTTCCCCCATGGCGTTACGGGAGGCGCCTGAGGTCATGCCGATTTTCCAGCCACCAAGACGTTCGCCGCTTTCCAGCCAGCGTGCCAGAAGTTTCAGCTGCATTTGCTGGCCACTCGCAAAATCGGTAGGAAAATTGCGCACCTGTTCAGGCTGGGCCAGCAGATTTTCGTATCCAGCAGAGGGGTTGTTGTGGATATCCCACAGTATATCGATGCAGTTATTCATCTCTGAGGTTCTTCAAACTTGTATTTTCAGGCGGCGCCATTGTAGCTGACTGAATTAAACCGCAGGATGTATTTATGGTACCTTCTGCGTCATTACGAGGAGTTAGAATATGTCTTATGCACCCGCTGACCGTCCCTTCTATGATGCGGATAGTCACATCATGGAACTGCCCGATTTTCTGAAGTCTTACGCAGATCCGGATATTCGCGATGAGATACCGGAAGTGAGTTACAGCGCTTCAATTGTGACTGACGAAGAAGTTGCGCAGATAGTTGCTCAAGGCGGTAAACACAGTCCTGAGCATGTTGCCGAGCAAATTGCATTAGGCGACCAACTCATTGAAACTTCAAAAGAAATTCAAGCCCTGGGGGCATTTAATGCCCAGGACCGCTCGGTTGCCATGGACTTGCTGGGTTTTAAAAAGCAGCTGGTTTTTGCAACCCACAGTGTGGCCTTTCCTTTCCACCCCAGTAGTAAAAAACCTGCACATTTACGTTACGGGGCAACCCGAGCGCACAACCGGCATATGGTTGATTTCTGCGCTGATGATGATCGGTTGATGGGTGTGGGAGTGGTGCCGTTGGATGATCCTGCGCGCGCCATAGAAGAAGCAAAATGGGCCATTGATAATGGCCTGCAAGCGATCTGGGTGCCACATCGTGCGCCGATCGGTCATGCGCCGGGCCATGTGGATCTTGAGCCCTTCTGGGCCATGCTGGCGGAGGCCGGTGTACCGTTCTTGTTGCACGTTGGCGGAGCGCCGTTGCAGATCAACAGCTCCTGGAGTAATAACGGGCGCGCGGCCACACGCGACTGGATGGGTGGGGGTGAGAACGTCCGTACAAAAGACGCCACCGTTATGCATCAGGCGCCAGAGATGTTCTTGAGCATGCTTGTCGCTGATGGCGTCCTGCACAGACACCCGACGCTGAAAGGTGCGGCGGTTGAGCTGGGTGCCGGTTGGGTGCCGGAGATGTTGCGACGCCTGGATGCGGTGGCCAAAGTTTACAGTCGGGTTGATGAGTCGATTCGATTCGACCGCAAACCCAGCGAGCAGATCACCCAGCAGATGGGCTTTACGCCCATGCCCCATGAGGACGTCGGTAACATGATTGCGCAGTCCAACCCGGATCTGTATCTCTTCTCCAGTGACTATCCGCACATCGAAGGCACACGTGATCCCATTGCTCGATTTGAAAAGACGCTGCCACAAGCTGATGAGCAGGTTAAAGCGGCCTTTTACAGTGAGAACTTTCTGCGTCTGTGGCCGGATGCCCGGGTCAGTTAATCGGTAGCAGATATGGTCAGAGCAATTGCAGTCATTCTGGCAGTCCTGGTTGTCGCGGCACTGAGCACTTTCTGGTTTGTCTGTCCGTGTGAACAAATGCCGGGCGGCCCCCTGCAGGGTGAACGCAGTACGATGCAGGTCCAGAACTGGTCGTTTGCTAACGAGCCAGGTCTGTGCCAGGTGGAAGTTGATCGTGGCATTCCCTGGTCGGTGAATTTGAACTGTATGTCCGTTGATAATGCGTTGTATATCAGTTGCTCACGCTGTGAGGGTAAAGGTTGGTCAGCCGCGGCGTTGGACAACCCGGAGGGATATATCAGGATTCGCCAGACGGTCTACCCTGTAACGTTCAAACGTCTGGTGGGCAGTGAAGAATTGGATGAGGCCTGGCGCGCGCGTCTGCAGAAGCTTGATGCGGACTTGAGTAGTCCCAGGCCCGCACACTGGTGGTCGTTTAAGTTAGTTTCGCGTCCGATGGCGTAGCACCCACAGCAACTGGTGGGGCATTGCGGGCGGCATCGGATTGGATAGTGTTGAATTAGGGGGGAACCATGGAAAAAACACTAGATACGCAAGTCGACGTGGTCATCGTTGGCGCCGGTTTTGCAGGCTTATACCTGCTTTACCGACTGCGCCAGCTGGGTATGAGCGCCCAGGTGCTTGAAATGGGTGATGGCGTTGGCGGAACCTGGTATTGGAACCGTTATCCAGGCGCACGCTGTGACGCCGAGAGCCTGGCCTACTCATTTTCGTTTTCCCCTGAGCTTGAGCAGCAGTGGCAGTGGTCTGAACGTTACGCCACACAGCCTGAAATTCTGGCCTATGCGGATCACGTTGCGGACCATTTTGACCTGCGCCGCGACATCGCCTTTGAACAGAAGGTGACGTCAGCTTTATATGACCAGGGACACAACGAGTGGCATGTGCTCACTGAGCAGGGTTTAGAGGTGCGCGCTCGATTCTGTGTAATGGCAACCGGCTGCCTGTCGGTGCCACAATTGCCGGATATTCCGGGTATTGCTGACTTTAAAGGACCCAGGTACCAGGCCAGCTTATGGCCGCCGGAAGGTGTTGATTTCACCGGTCAGCGGGTTGGTATCATCGGTACCGGGTCTTCGGGTATACAGGCTATCCCTAAAATTGCCGAACAGGCTGCGCACCTCACCGTGTTTCAGCGCACACCTAATTTCAGTGTACCTGCCGTTAACAAGCCGCTCGATCAGAACTGGGTTGAGCAGTTTAAACACCACTATCGGGAGCATCGCAGATTTCATAAGCTGGGTCTGAGTTCGGGTTTTGGTGACCTCGATATAGAACCGATAGAACGCGCACCGGTCGCCGAAACCGCTGAGGGCATGAGTGCCGAGCAGGTGGCTGAATTACTGGATCCGTACTGGGAGCGTGGCGGGGCGTTTTTCCTGTCAGCGTTTGCCGACACAATGATGAACCCTGCCACTAATGCGCTGGTGGCTGAATATGTGCGCAACAAAATTCGCGCGACAGTGCAAGATCCGGACATTGCGGAACGGCTGTGCCCATCAAATCATCCAATTGGCACCAAGCGCATTTGTGTGGATACGGGTTATTACGAAACCTACAACCGCGATAATGTGACGCTGGTTGATGTGGCAGCTGATCCCATCGAGGCGATTACGGCAACCGGGTTACGAACCGGAACGGACAGTTATGAGTTTGATGTGCTGGTACTGGCAACGGGTTTTGATGCGATGACCGGCGCCCTTGGACGCATGGATATTCGCGGCGAAGACGGGCAGCGCCTTAAAGATAAATGGGCGGAAGGGCCACGCAGCTACCTGGGTTTGAGTATTGCCGGTTTCCCGAATTTCTTCACCGTTACAGGTCCGGGTAGTCCCTCGGTTCTCAGTAACATGATGGTATCGATCGAACAGCACGTCGATTGGATTGTTGACTGCATGCAACACATGCGGAACAGTGGATACAAGCGCATCGAAGCGCAACCGTCAGCAGAAAATCAGTGGGTAAATCATGTGAATGAAGTGGCCAGTGCAACCCTGTTTCCGCAAGCGGGCTCCTGGTATATGGGTGCCAATGTAGAAGGTAAGCCAAGGGTATTCATGCCCTATGCCGCCGGGGTAGGTCCGTACCGGGAAGTCTGCGACGACGTGGTCGCGGACGATTATCGCGGTTTCGACTTTATGTAGGCTGTCAGCCCGGAATGATTCTGCGTTGTTGTAAGTCGCGTAACCAATGACAGAAACTCTCTTCAGAGTTATACACCGCGTTGAAGCCAGCTTGTCTGATCTTCACCGTACTGACAAATGTGGGTGGTGGCGGATCTTCTAAGCCATGCGCAAATGCCAGGTCTGCATAGTGATGGGATTCCCCCAGTACCTGCTGTAGCGACAGCGGCTGCAGTCCATGCTGTTGGACGATGTTGTCCCACAGTTCCTGTCGACTTTCCAGATACGTGGCGAGACTGAAAGGCTCATCTTCACCTACGTCTATATTCAACGTCTCAGCGATGGCCGGCCACATGTCGCGCCAGCTGAAGACCTCGCCGTTTGTCAGGTTAAACGTTTCTCCCGCGGCCTGGGCGTTTTGTGCAGCCCAGAGGCAGGCGTCACCGGTTAAACGGGCATCGGTAGCTTCCCAGATCCAGTCTGCGCCGCCGGGAAAAGCCAGTCTTAATCCTTCTGCCTTGCGCATGGCGGCATAAACGCCTACGACCGGCGGCAGGTTCATCACCACGCCGTGGTTGGGGCCGACAATCAGCTGGGGTCGGAATATGGTGGTAGCAAAATCATGCCTGGCGGCTCGTTCTTTTAAGTCGTCCTCTTGTAACCAGTAGAAATTCGGATGTTCAACACGGGATTGTGACTCCCGCGCAGGCACTCGAATGGGGCCAATGGCGGCACCGTATGCTTTGGTACCCTGCAGCAGACTGACGTGTTGAAGACTGGCGTTTTCAAGCAGCGGATCTAACAGGTTGCGTAGCATGGCGCCGTTGGTTTCAATCTGTTTTGCATCGGACCAGCCCGGCACGAGGCCAGGTAGTTCATAAACTGCGGTGTATACCAGATGAGTGATGTCAGTCAGCGCTTTGCAGGCTTCGATGCAGGCTTGTGGATCCTGCAGATCCACAGCCAGATGTTCAACGGCGGAGTGCTCGATCAGTTCTGGAACGCGTCTGGATAACGCGACAACCTGCCAGCCGGCAGCTGCAAATGCATTGGCAGCTGCCGTGCCTACTAAACCGGATGCGCCGGCAATTAACACTTTTGTCGGACCCATTACCTGCATGTCGCATCGCCTGAATGATAGAACTGGGTAGTGTTATAAGGCATCTATGAAACGTGTGCAAAAATCTCCCTATCTAAATGCTGTCTTCCTCGGTTCAGGCGCGTTTGTCTTCATCAATTTTGGATTGCCTGTCCGGGCAGACGATTTAGGCATCAGCGCAACAGCGATTGGGGGTATGTATGCGGTTTTCACGGCCACCATGTTGCTGGTTCGGCCGCTGGTTGGTTACTGTCTTGATCGGTTCGGGCGCCGCTGGTTTTTTGCGTTTGCTTTCATGTTTTACAGCGCAGCGATGGTTGTTTTTGCGTTCAGTACCGATCTGACCGACTTCTATATTGCCAGGTTTCTGCAGGGTATTGGCGCATCCCTGATGTGGGTGTCTGCTCGAACCATGGTTGCCGACGTGTTTGCCCCTGACAGCCGCGCTGAAGGTATGGGGCAACTGCTCACCATCTCTGTCAGGGGGAGCTTGCTAGGTGCGGTTTATGGCTTCACGCTGCTCGGCATGATGCCCATGGCGCAAGCCTGGGTCTGGGCTTTCTCGGGCTATGCCGTGCTTGCTCTATTGGGATGGGCCTGGGCATTGACGCAGGTGCAGGAAACCAGAGTACCCAGTTCACCCGCAGCAGTGCGCGAGAAGCTGCAATGGACGCCGCCCTTGCGCCGTATATTGATCATTGTTTTTATTTCGGGTTTTGCCAGCGCGCTTATTGAGCCTGTTTATCTGCTGTTTTTGAAACAGAAATTTGATCTGCATGTGGCCCTGCTGGCGCTCGCATTTCTGCCTGCAGGCCTGGTCTATGCCATTCTGCCGCGTTACGCCGGACGGTGGGCGGATGAACTGGGACGGGTGCGACTGATCGCAACGGGGGTTGTGTGTGCTGGCTTGGTATCGGCTGCTTTGCCGTTCTGGCCAGGCTTGTTGCTGGTGGCGGTATCCTACATTCTGTTTGCCGCTGGATGGGCGCTGGCAGGTCCTGCCGAAGATGCGCTGGTGGCCGATCTTGCACCGTCATCCCTTCGCGGTACGGTGCTGGGTGCTCGTGAGGCAGCGGCAGGCTTTGGCGCTGCATTAGGGCCGCTTGCCGGCGGTTTCATTTATGACAATGTGTCTCAGGCAGGCACATTTGTATTTAATGGTTTGCTGCTGGGTGTCGCTGCGGTGCTGGTTTTGATCTGGTTTTCCGAGCCCAAACAACCACAGCGGTGATTGGTGCTAGTCGTTGGGCTCGTAGAACATGGATGTTCTGCCTGCATCGACGACAAGATCGTGACAGTTAACAAAACGTCCGGCATCGCTGGCAAGATACAGGGCGGCTTCTGCAATGTCGTTGGCGACACCGGTTTTTTTCAGAGGTACAGCATTGGCCAGGTTGGCTTCAAGTTTCGCCATTTTGCGCTGGTTTTCTTCATCACTCAGCGTGTTTGCGCGTCCTGAGCCGCCGTAGAAAATGGGTGTAGCAATTGCACCGGGTGATATTGAGTTGACGCGAATGCCAAAAGGCGCCAGCTCTATGCCTGCCATTTTTGTGTAATGGGTGACGGCAGCTTTCAACGCTGAATACAACACATCACCTTGCCGGTAGCGGATCGCCGCCACGCTTGAGTTGTTGATGATGACGCCACCACCGGCTGCTTTCATGGGTTCAATGGCATAACGCGTACCCAGGATGACACTGGACAGCAGCAGGCTGACACCATAGTTGATGTGCTCTGAG